AAAAAAAAAAAAAAAACAACTTTTGGAAATCCTCTCATATAACTAACGTGAGTTGGGGAAGGGGAGCCATTTTTAAATTTTTCCATAAACTTGCCGCCTTGGCTATCAGCTGCCTGTTTTTATTAAACACTTTTTCTATACAATGCTTCCCAGTGCTGGCCGTATCTGTTATGAATTATTCATGACATGTTTAAAGTTTGGGGAATTTTCTCTCATGCTGGCATGCATGGCCTCCGGGCAGGCAGTGTCCGTTCTGCCACGTGGGGACCTGTAAGGAGCGAGCTCCAGCTGACTGCATCCAGCTTCGCGAGGCCACCGTGTGGCTGTGGCGACTGCACCCTCGCACTCAGGCAGGCAAACCACTCCCTTTGGGTCTACACTCACCAATCGTTGGTGTCTGCCGTTAGAACCACGGAAAGCAAGTTCACCACGACTTGATGAGGGATTATCTAGTCTGTGACAGAAAGGCCCAAACCATCCACTCCTCCAGAGGCTTCATGGAGTTACCCGATACACCCTATGGTTCCATCCTTAAAAGAGAGTTGCTTGTGGCTCCAAGGCAGTGTTCAGGTTGACTAGAGCAGAAGCAGGGATAAAGGACAGGAAGTTCAGCTGCACGTGTGTGTCTGTCTAACAGTGTACAGCCTTGAGGCAGCTCATTCTCCTTCCTATTCTATGTGGTCTTATCCAGGACATTTTCTTTAATTTGCTACAGGGCATGTGCACTTGCCGGGGAAAGAGAGAGAAAGAGAAAGTGAGGAGGCGCCTCCCAGGAGGGAGACTACGCCACAATCCCTTCTCTTCCTTTGTGGGTATGCACACACATGTGCCTGGTGTATTTGTCAAGCTACCACGTCTGGGACTTGAGCTACACTGTCTCATGTGGGAGTCAGCCACCATAACCACCATGTCACTGGCTGGCCTGCTTTTATCTAATATGATGATAAAATCTCGTACTCCTGAGAAGCTGCTGTGAGCAGGTTCCCCTGGCAACCAGAGCTGTCTGAAGTCGTCTCAGTGCTCTGCCTATTTTGACTTTATTTTGGCCATGAATTTGCAAAAAAAAAAAAAAAAAAAAGGAAAAAATAACTGGTAGTACTCCAATGAAACAAAGCTACTTTTATCATACTTAGTTTTTTCGACCTTCAGAAGACTGTCGCAACTAGCAGGGGTTTCTCATCACTGATCAGGATCATACTGTACTTCAGGGTCCCCAAACGAGTTTTGTACACTGCTTTAGCGATAAAAGTGCACCCCAGTAAAACCATTTACACTCACTCTGTGTGTAAATGCGAGAAAATAGATATCAAAACTTTGGATCGGATCAACTTGGAAATTTCTTTCGCGCTTTTTGCCTCTTTAAAGTTTTACCTAAATTGGGGCCAGTAGGTGGTGTGGTGGTTAAGGTGCTGGTGGCATGGAGCTTAAGGTGCTGGACTCCCACATGACGAACCATAGTTTGAGTCCTGGACCTGATGGTTTACTTTCTCATTTTTTCTTTCTCTCTCTGGTGAGTGTACATGCCCAAATTAAAAATTAATAATAATTATAAATAAAATTAAATAAATCATTCTTTTTAAAAAAAATTACCTAAACCTTTTCATATAATATCATTTCCTTCTTTA